AACACGGACGGACAGACTTTGAATCTTTGCCACGGTGCTGGATATGAAATAGGATCTCTTTATTTTAATTTGCATTCCCCGAGTTGCTGCTTAGGTGGAATATTTTGAATATATTTACTGACCATTTGAGGTTTTGTTCTGTGAATTCCCTGTTTGTGTTCTTTGCCTATTTCCTATTTGGTTGGTAATTTTCTTGATTATGTGTTGGTTATGTGGCTTGCCTTTTTTTTTTGTTTAATGGTATCTATTGATGTGAAGAATTTTAAATTTTAATGTGTTTAAATGCGTTCATCTTTTTTATGGTTTGTTTTCCTTTTCTAAAAAAATCCTTTCCTAGGGCATCTGGGTGGCTCAGTTGGTTAAGCAACTGCCTTCGGCTCAGGTCATGATCCTGGAGTCCCGGGATTGAGCCCCCACATCGGGCTCCCTGCTCGGCGGGGAGTCTGCTTCTCCCTCTGACCCTCCCCCCTTTCATGCTCTCTCTCTCTCACTCTCATTCTCTCTCTCTCGAATGAGTAAAATCTTTAAAAAATAATAAAAATAAAAAATCCTTTCCCACCCCAAGTTCTTAAATACATTTTCCCATATGTTCGTCTAAAGTTACAAAGCTTTGCTTTGTTCCTGTAAGCCCTTAATTCATTGGAAATTTATTTTCACCCGTCTTGTGAAAGGCCCTGATTTTTTCCATGTGGAATGGCTGGTGTTTCCACCTGTCCACGGAACTCACGTGGCCTCTGCTCTGCCCAGCACCCAGGTGTGCCTGCTCCAGGCTGTGCTCGAACTCCGCCCTGTCCCTAAGCTGCGGATCTGCTCCCACATACTTCTTCAGGAGAGTCTTGGCTGTTCTTGGCCCTCTGGTCTTCCATCTGAATTTTAAGACCAGCTTAAAGTTCCTTTAAAAAAAAAAAAAAAAAAAAACCTTATTGGGGAGGTCCCTGGGGGCTCAGTCAGTCAAGCGCCTGACTCTCGATTTCAGCTCAGCTTGTGATTTCAGGGTCGTGGGATCGAGCCCCGCTTCGGGCTCTGCATTCAGCTCAGAGTCTGCGTGAGATTCTCCCTCCCTCTGCCCCCCTCCACTCGTGCATGTGTGCACGCTCTCTATCTCAAATGAATAAACAAAATCTTTTTTTTAAGATTTTTTACTTATTTGAGAGAGAGAAACGGAGATAGTGAGAGAGAAGGAGAGGGAGAAGCAGACTCCCCGCGGAGCAGGGCGCCCGATGCGGGACTTGTGCCCTGTCCCTCACAGCACTGTGTGTCTCCCTGGTTGATGTTGCTGGAGTTTGTGTACCTTTTCCTCCTGTTCGCTCATCCTCACTGTGGTTTCTTTTGCGCTGGTAACGTCCGCCGTCATCCTCCTCTCCGGCCTCCTGGGGGCTGCTTGAGTCCCTCTCCTCGCGGCTTCGGCTGGGCCCCCCAGGCCCGCTGCCGTCGGCTTATTCCTGTAAATACATCCCGGGGCTTAGGTGTCATCACGCTTTGCTACGGGGCACTTCTGGTTCCAAACCGTGGTCGTGTCTACTTTGACTTAATCGCTTCATCCATGAGTTACTTGGGAGCACCTGTCAGTCCCCCATGTGCCACCTGCTCTCCCGGCATCCCGAGCGCACAGGCCTGTGGGCCCAGCTCTTAGAAACCCAAGGCGCCTTTCGTGCCCCATACGTGGCCAAGTATTGAACACGTGAGAGTGTGGTCCCCTCGGGATCACCTTGGGGTCACCCTTGTCCCCCAGGAAGCGGCCCGTTAAAATCTCCACATGACGGACTTGTCTTTCCTTCGTGTGTCTCAACACTATGTTCTTTGGCCCATTTATTCACGATTATTACATATCTTTGGTGAATTGTTAGTTAGCAGTTCTATCCCTAGTCATATTTTTTCCTTCAGTTTTCTTTGTCTGAGAAATCTTGCTCTTCCCCTCTCGGGGGTGTGTGTTCGGACCACCTGTCCTGGTGCCGTGACTTCACTGTCCATGTGGTTTCAGGTGTGTCTCCTGTGACAAGCAGAGCCCGCGCCTGTAAATCCAGTGGATAATCCATCATTTAGTCACTGAATTTAGTCCATTTATTGTGATGATTGATGAACTTGTTTCTACAATCTCAATTTGCATTTTCTGCCTACCACCTTACGGATTTTTGGTTTGTTTTGCCTTCTTTTTTGTTGTATTAACGACCTTCTCTATTTTTTTCTTGTTGCTTATTTGGAAATTGTAAATTAAATTTCTGGGGCGCCTGACCGGCTGTTGGTAGAGCGTCCCACTCTTGATCTCAGGGTCATGAGGTCGAGCTCCATGTTGGGCATGGAGATGACTTAAAATAATAAATAAGTAAGTCAATAAATAAATAAATATTTAATTTCTGTTGAATACTCTTAAATTTTTCAAAAGCAGACTATAACACTTACAGTTCTTTTTCCAGCCAAGTTTATGGTTCTAGAGTATGTGGACCCTGCGGCCGGCATGTAAGCTCCCTCCCCGCCCCGCTATGATCCTGATATGCTCCTCTAGCGTTTCAGTCTTGTTTTGCTTTGGAAACAAAATCAATAGGCTTTGTTTTTACAGTCAGTGGATAAATTTAGTGACATTTTCTCAATTTCTTGGCTCAGCGAATTTCCTTGAGATAAATAATGCTCTACGATTGTTGTTCTTGTAAGCATCTCTGAGGTCAGCCCACTTTGCCTTCACATATCTGAGTGTTTTGTCCTCACTCTTAAATGACGGGCTGCCTGGTTATAGGAAGACACCTCTCCGCACCTCTGCTTCTGGCACCTTGGGCCCTCATGTCTTCTGAGGTCATGGGCCTTTTTTTTCTGCTGCTGTTAAGGTTTTCTTTGTCCTTTACATTATGGTGCATATACACAATGGAAACACCCAGTGAGTGTGAGCCTCGCTCAGATGAGCAGCTCTGGTTCATAGGTCCTCCCCGTTGCCGGAGAGCCCTGCGGACAAAGATGAGACCTACACTGGAGTGCACTCGGCTCACCTGCACTGGGGTCACTAAAGTCAGCCCCACTTCCGTGCAGAGAGAAGCCAAGCCGGACCCTCAGCACCCTAGCTAACATGCCCAGAGCTCAGCAGAGGCCTTGGTTTATCTTGTTGGAGCAGCTAGTGGGACAAGCTCTCTAGAGAGTTCTGAATCTTGCTTCTCTCAATAGCCACAGACCTTGGGCCACCACCCATGACTTCGTTCCAGGCAGGAATGGAACCACTGGCCAGGGAGAGGCCAAGGACAGGGTCAGCCTCCAGGTGAAGACATGTCTGCCCACGTTTAGACCATCCCCCAAAGGGGAGAGCATCACAGGAGACTTCGGCACTTCTGCAGAGTCATAATCGGCATCTGTGGAAGTCCCCTGGTTACACACCTGGAGCCGAGGCCTGTGTGTCAGATGTGGTCACTTGTTAAACTTAACTACGTCCGGGTATGGTCCTGCCCCCTGGAGCCTCACTCAGGGAGATGAGGTACTAGACCCTGGCTAGCCACATGCCTCCTTGGCTGGGGAGGGCAGGACACCTGCAGTGGGGCAGAGTGGTGGCCTGACATGAAACCTGAGGCCTCTCTGGAACCGAGGAGGGTGCTGGGAGTAAGCCAGGTGCCCAGTTTAGAGCCCCGAGGGCCTGGGGCAAGGGTGGGATCACAGGAGGGCCAGAAGGGCCAAAGGATTAGGTGCGAGCTAGCTTGGGGGTGCTGAGTATGGGAGGTGGAGGAAGAGGAGTCTGGAATGTTCTGGGCTTTCCGGCTCAGCAGCCTGAATGGAGAGTACAGGGGAGGAACTGGTGGGATGGGGGAGAAGGGAGGGTGAGTGTGAACTGACGCACTGGGCAAGCCTGGACGTCCACCAGAGCCTCCGAGTGAGGGGCGCCGGGGTCGGGGTGCCTCTCCTGTACAGACGCACGCAGGCCCCCACGCCTGGGAGAGAGCAGGGGGCATCGGCACCACGGAGAATGGCTGAAACGTGCCGACTCTCTCCAAGAGGCAGGGAGGCCACTCACTGGGTGCTGCTCGGTGTGGCCCCGGCCTCTTGCCCAGCAGCCTGCTATTCTGGGCGTGGTGGGGGCTTCCGTGCCGGGCCCCCCCCTCTTGCACCAACCTGGCCCTTCTGCCCCAAGTCCATCCGTCTGGAGGAGAAGTTCTGACAGGAAGGGCTGCGGCCCTGCATCTGTCTCGTAGGCCTTGTCACTGGCGTGGGAAATACCTGCCCATCGGCACAGCCCCTGCGGCCACACTGCCCGCATGAGCCCCCAGCTCCAGAGGCCCCCGAACGAAGGGCGAGATGAAATGTGCCAGCAGACCACAGGGACCGTGTTCGCGCGGCGGGTTTCATCTGAATGACCGTCCATGTGATTCGTCCAGTTGTTGGGATTCTCCACTCCCGCGTTTGTCACCGGTCCACTCATACTGATCGGAAGACGGTGGTGTCAGCGCTGGCTGAGTGGACTGGGCTGGCTCAGGGGCCCCCTTCCCGCCCTCCTCTCCCCACCCGGGCTGAGGAGGGGCCGATAGGCAGCTCTGCTGGCAGCTTCTCCGGGCCGCGTGCACTGAAAGGACGGGTGACCACGGGGGCCTCGGGCATGGCCTGCAGCCCCGCAGGCAGCCCACAGGGCCCAGGGGACGGCCCCGCCATTAGGTGTCCTCATCCCTCCAGCTTCTCGCGGGTGGGGACCCTCCGCAGCCCGGGGCCTGCATGCGGTGGGGAGTGTGTGCCGCACTCAGGGCCCCCCGCGAACCGGCCAGGAAACAGACCCACTGAGGCCACTCTGAGGAAACAGGGCTTAACCTCAGGCTGCTCGAGACCCCGATGGGTGCACCCTCCGGCTCCCTCCTTGAGGACGTCCCCTCTGCTCCCTGCTCCCTGTGCCAAAACCAGGCCAATTACCCCCAGCGCCACCGGGCACAGACCACCAGCCAGGCCAGCTGGGGGTGAAGACACTGGGGAAGGAGGCCCAGCCTGGTGCACCTGCCCTGAGAGGCGTCTCACACTGCCTTGCCCCCCATGTGCTTCGCCAGGTGTCTCCGGCCTGCACCCCCCGTCCCGGCCTCCCACGCCTTCCTGCCCAGCTCAGAGGGCACCTGCCCACACCGGGTCCTCAGCACCGAGACTGAATGAGAATTGGGGGGCTACTCACCTGCCCTAGGGTCTCGGGGAGCATGGGCCCCCCGGCCTGTCTTGGTGAGTTTTTATTGGAGTGAGTTTTTCCATCAAAATTGACCTTCTGCAAACAGCTTACAAATTCCTTTAAAACTTGACCATCTGCGTCCAGTGATCTCTTTTCTCTGGCCTGTCTCTGTGCCCCCATCACTGTGACCAGGGTGTTCCCCTGAACCCTGGGTTCTGGAGCACTCCTGGGCTGACCTCGGTGGCTTGGGGCTCTGGTGGGTGACAGAGGCCATGCCCCAGAGCCCTTGCTGGGCTGGCTGCCCCCAGCACATTCGGGCTGGCCACCGGGCGGAGTCCAGGCTGCTACAGCCGACGCCGGGCAAAACCTCAGACAAGCTGCTCTGGGCCCAGCCAGGGATGGGTGATGGGCTGGCAGCCCAAGGCCATCTCTGGGGTGGACATGGCAGGAATCTGTACTGACCCTATGGCTCGCATTCCCTCATCCGTCCTGGGAGAGCAAGAAGGCCGAGGACTCCGTGCTGGGGTCCCTTTGCCCTGGGAGGGGTGAGGGGATGCAGGGTCACCTTGGGGCTCCATTTCCAGAGGAACCTGGGGGAGGGACAGGCATGTCCAGCGTGGGGGCGAGAAGGACCCATCACCACACCCACCTGGCCCCTGAGCACAGAGCTGGGACGAGCTGTGGGCCAGAAGTGGGAGGACCAGCCAGCTCTCCCCGCCACCTCGGCCAGGGCATCCCTGGAGCCACACTGCCCCCTGCTGGTGCCAGGGGGTGGTAGGAGCCGCGAGCACACCAGGCTGCCCTGGCCACCCTGACCCACCCCCACCCAGGCCCTAGGGCTGATTATCACCTAAAGGACACAGGAAACCACGTCCAGGGGACCCGGGGCCGCTCCCTGGCCGTAATCTGCATTGTCGTATTGGAGCTGCAGGGCACGGGGCTGCTGAGCAGGGCAGGACCACAGCCCCAGCGGCTGGGGGCTTGGAGCCCTCGGACAGCCCTGGAGGGAGACCAGGAGCGAGGGCCCGCGGGGCACCCTGCCCGCCCCCCCAGCCTCTTCTATCTGCTGTCTGTGACCATCCGTCTGTGGTTTTTGAGCATCCAAGACTTTAAACACAGTTTGGGAGTGGCTACTCGGTGTGTGTTTGGGGGATTGTCATTGGGCTTCTGAACAAAGACAAGGCCCCCCGCCCCAAACTTGATGGCCTCCGTCTGCAGTACATCCTGTGGCCACCAGAGGGCAGGCGCAGCCTGGGTCGCTGGGGACACCCTGTCCTCCCCAGGCCAGCCCAGCCTAGCCCACCCTGGAGCCTCTCCTCCAGGCCCCGCGCCTCAGGCATCACCCCCACTGCCATCCCTTCTGACAACCATTCAACGGATGGGAACCCCCCGCAGGACCCCACTGCCCCGTCCAGGCCCCCGGGGCTGGTCAGGGCTTGAGGAGCCCCCCACACCCTGCACCCATTTGCCAACCTTTGCCCGGCTCCTTGAGGACTCCCCCTTATGCTGTTTCACCATGTTCCACTTCAGGACTTCTTGGTGATTTCGGACTCCCCTGGGAGGGCAGCCCCACCAGAACTTTCTCAGCGCTAAAGCCCCGGAGCCTGGGGCGTGGGAACTGTGGAAGGATGGAAAGGGGTCACGGGGGCAGCCTCTCTCCTGACCCCCAGCCCAGGCCTCACTGCTGAAGGGTTGGTCTGGGCTCCGGACCCACCTGTACTGGCCTGTCACCTTGGCCTCCTGCAGACTCCCTGTTCCTGCCTCTAAAGTGAGGGGTCCCAAGAGACTGCCGTACGTGGGGTGGGAACGGCGCCTGGGAGCACTTCACTGTTGTCATACACAGCTGCCCCCCAGGGGTCGCCACGCAGATGACCACAGGCTCCCAGGGCATGTCCACGAGGAACCCGCCCTGTGCCCAGGCCGACATCTGGTGTCAGCTCCTTTTCTCAGCACCTCCAGACCCCTCCCCTCTGTGCCCACCCTCCGCGGCAGTCTGAGCCCCAGGTGGGCAGGTGCCCCTCGGTGCAGCCTCAGGGACTGTGTTCACACCGGGCAGTGTTTTCGGCATGACACCCTAAGTGACCCCCACTGGCAAAATGGATCTGTGCACCACAGGAGCCCCTGCCGGGCTGTGGGCGGTGTAGACATGGCAGTGGTCCCCTTGCAGGAAGCAAGGCAGATGCTCAGTGCGTACCAGCGGGAACAGGCAAGTCACTCCGCCACTGTGACCTGGTCTGTCCCCCAGAGCAAGCTCCCACACACTTGGCAGCTAGAAGGACATCTTCAGATCGGGCGTCCCAGTGGGCTCCCAAGTGTTGCGCTCCTGGTCACAGAGCAGAAGACCAAAGGCATGGTGTTGGCTGCTGGAGGCAGAGGAGGCACCCCCAGAAGGGTCCTGACCGGGGGTGGGGCATGGGAGCGGCCCTGGCCTTTGCCGGGGTTCTGGTCATGGGTCGAGGAGAGGATATGGCTCCCCAAGGGCGACCAAACGCCCCAGGCCCCACCCGAAGGGGCTGTGCAGAGCTGTGGGAAGGGGAGCGACCCAGAGTGGGGGGTCAGAGCTGCAGACATGGGGTGCAGAAGACAGAGAGTCCAGAGGGTAAGATGCCCCATGCCCGTGGGAAAACGAGAGGGCTCTTCTGGAGGGGCCAGTCCCCCTTTAGGAAGGAGAGTGAACTGGCCCTTTGGCCAGAGGTGGACCAGCCCTGGACAAGACCTCCATGCTCGTGGAACCCAAACCCCACCCTTGCACACAAGGGGAAACCGAGGGGGATGCAGAGAGCAACATGGCAGGGCCTCGAGCTAGGACTGGAACACAGGAGGAGGGCCACCCCCTCCCTGCCCCTGGGTGGGGGGCAGGAAGGATTGCTTACCAGCCTGGGGACCACACCCCTTCCCAGCAGCCCTTCCCTGCACCTGGGGCTCACTGGTGACCAGACCTAGCTTACCCTCCCCCCTCCAAGGGTGTTGGTGGGGAGACAAATGGCTGAGAGGAACGTGGAGGAAGGGCGGGCAGACAGGCAGAGAGGAAGGGGTCTCACAGGGCCACGTCCCTTGCCTTTGGTCAGACTGCCTGAGGTTAACCAGAGGGGCTCAGCCACCTGCCCTCTTCTACCTCCCCCTACACTAGTCCCAGGAGGCAGAAACCCAAAGCCTTCAGAGGGCTGCCCCCCCCCCATGTTTAGGGTCCCTAGCCTCAGAGGCAGGACGGTGGCCCTGAGGGGCTGCTCCCCAGGCCTGGGGCCTCAGAGCCTGGAGATGGAAGAGGCTCCCCGCCAACTCCCCACCTTGGAGGAATGAGCGCCAGGGACCGTCGCTGCCAGAGCCTGCTGCAGGCAGTCTGGCCTCCTTCCAAGCAGGCCAAGGGCACAGATGGCACCGCACCTGCTCCGCCCCACGATCTGGACAGGAGAACAGAGGCCCGGGGCCTGCTCCGTGGACACTCCCCACTCCTCCTGCTCAGAAGAAAGCACGTCGGCCCACAGGGTCCTTCCTCCATGCTTCGCTCTCCACCGTCTATTCCTGCGTGCTGGGTCTGTGAGGGGGACACACACACAGATCACTGCCCACCTAATGGGAGGCCACCCTGCAAACCAGAGCAGGAAGGAAAGGAAGGGCTCCCACTGGGTGGGGAGGGCTAATCCCTGGCTCGGTCTGTGCCTGGCCTTCCTCCGTGCTGGCCCTGAGGATCAACCGGGAGAGAGTGGGACCCAAGATGCCAGGTGCCAGGTGGGTGCCATGTCTGACAGGGTGGTCAGGAGTGGCCATTAGACAGAGCCCTCAAGGCGGCCAGCAACATGCCTGAGGTGGGGGTAGCAGCCCCGGGAAGAGCACTGCAGGCAGAGGGAACAGCCAGTGCAAAGACCCGGAGGCAGGAGTGCGCCTGGCGAATCCAGGGAGCAACAACACGGAAAAGGAATGGATGAGTGACTCAGTCCTCTCTGGCTCCTAGCCCAGCCCCCACCCACCAACGGCTTTTCTGGCAGGCTTCCTCATCTCACCGCTGGACCCCGACAGCTCTGCCTCCCAGGACAGCGGCCTGACCCCTACGGCCCGCCCTCCAGGCTGTTTCTGGCCAGGCCCGCCCCGCCCCCGGGGCACACGTGCTGTCACTCAGCCCAGGCCCCGCCCTGGCCCCCAGCTCCGTTCGTGCTCTCGAGCTCTCAGCCCGGGCCCCGCCCCCGGGGCACGCGTGCTGTCACTCAGCCCAGGCCCCGCCCTTAACCCTCCTCCCATTCCCCCCGCGCATTGCTGTCGCTCAACCGCAGGCTCCGCCCCCGCCGCGCCCCCGTGCTGACTTTCCGTCTAGGCCCCGCCCCCGCACACGTGCTGTCACTCACCTCGGGCCCCCCCCCCCCCGCCCGCGCACTTGTGCTGTCACTCAGCCCTCGTTGTGTTGAGCAGGAGCCCGCCCGCCGGACACTCGGCCTCTACTCTGCCGGCCCATGGATATCGCGCTCCTCCTCGCCCTCGGGCTGCTGGCCCAGGTAAGGCGTCTGGCCGCGCGGCGTCCCTTGCCCCCTGCCCTGTCGGACGGTGTCACAGTAAAACGCGCCCGGGGGCCACCCATGAGTTGAGGAGTCATGGGTGGGTGCCCGGTGGGCAGCTCTGTTCAGGGCGCTCTGTGCCCCAAGGGGCTCTAGAGGCAGGGTAACCGCCTCCGCCAGGACCGGACGGGCAGCCAAGCTGGGTGGCCGCCGGGAGACCATCAGGCCGGCCCTTAACCGGAGGTGCGCCCAGCAACCCTGTGGGGCTTGTGGTGAGTGCCAGGGCGAGGGGGCGCAGCAGGAGCACCCCCAGCTGGAGGAGCCTGCAGACCAGATTCTCTAAGGACACCCCTGCTGAGTTGGCAGACTTTGCTTGGTCTTGGGTGGAGCCCAGACACCCCCACCCTGTGCCCGGTGGGCAGGGTCAGCTCTGGAACCCACTGTCCCTTGGGAGTGCTCTGGAGCCAGGCCCTGGGCACATAAAGCCTGCCACCCCCACACTCCTGGCCCGCCCCCAGTTCCCTGGTCCCCTCTGCTGGGGGAGCAGGGTGGGTGGAAGGAAGCCCTTCTCCCCACCATGGGCACCCCCCAATGTGGCCCTTTGGGCTGGGCAGGCACTCAGCTGGGCCTGGGAGTGGAGCCCGTGGCCTGCCTTCGGGGACCGGGCTGAGTCAGGGTCACAGGCCAGGGGCCAGGGCCGGGCAGTGGTGGGGCCCCTGTGCATACCCCAAGACCGTAGTTCTCCTCACATGACAGAGAGTGAGCCCCCCGGGCTTAGCCCATTCGCGCCCACAGGGGATTGCTGCTCCAGGGCTGGACGCTGGGGAGGAACACCCACTCTGGGGGCTTCTGGAGTCCCCCTGACTCCACAGAGCTCTGGCTGGAAGCTGATCAGGTGCCCACCAGCTGGACCCCCCCAGCAACTGGTCCCTCGGGGCACCGAGCTCTGGGCACCTCCGCCCCTACCCTGCAGCCTCCCCCTGTCCCCTCCATGGGAGCCCCGCCCAGATCTGGGCTGCCCAAGTTCAGCTGGCTGCCCACAACCTGCTTTCCTCCAGCCCTCTGCTGGGAGGCCACACCGCACCAGGGGTCTTCTGGCTGCCCCCCTGCAGGACCCTACGCACCCCCCACACTGGGGTCCATTCCAGAAGGCGGCACACCCCTCATGCCCCCTCCCCACCCACTGCAGGAACAGCAGTCCACCCCACTTGCGAATGGACCCAGTATATCGGACGTGCTGGAGACTAGTTCCTTGGGTTTGGGATGTCGATCTTTCACCAGGCCCCAGGAGAACTCTGCTGCAGGGGAGGGGAGTAGTCCCCTCCCGGATTCCTCTCCCCGCCCTGGGGCTATTGCAGAATGACCCCCCCTACACACACACACACACACACACACACAGCTAGAGGCTTTAGGGATTTGGGGGCACCAGCCAAGGGGGCTTGGCCACTCAAGTTTTGCAGTCAGTGTGGCTCAGATGAGTGCCAGTGTGAGGGGAGTCTTTCCTAGCCCCCTGAACTAGGTCTGTGTCAGGACCCTGCCCACCCCTCCCCCACCCAGCTCTCCTGTCCGGCTGCATGGCAGCTGATGGCTGCTCCTTGGTACCCCCGCCTCCACCTCCGTGAGCCCCCACCGCAGGCCAGCCCGGGCTTGGCAGAGCTGTCTCAGGGGGGCCCTGGGTGGGGCCCTGGGGACAGGAGTCTGCATTGATCTGTTGCTTACCGGTAGGTTTGAACAAGGCATGGCCCTCCCCTTCCTGTGTCCCCTGAAGTCTCAGCCAGCAGGCTTAGAGTGTGTACTTTCAGAACTGGTCTCTGTCGGCTCCCTCCTCTGGCCCACACTGTCCCCATCGCTGGCCGACCCCTGGGCCCCCACCCCACCTGAGAGTGGTAGAGGGATGGGGGAGCGTGGATGATTCAGAACGAACCCATGCCCTGCTGGGAGGGGTCTAAGTGGGTGTCCGGTGAGACATGTGGCTTCTGAAAGGGTGATGAGGCTGTGCTCCTGGGGACTTGGCAAAGTGTGAAGAGCCACCAGGGCAACGTGGCCACGTCCTCAGTATGGGGAGGGATCCTCATCCCCATGGTAGGGTAGTGTGACAGTGACGGGGGCAGTGGAGGGAAGCCGGCTCCTGGACCACTGTCCTCTCCCAGGTGGGCAGGGCAGCCGGGGATCACAGTGGTGTGGCCCGAGTGGGGAAGCAGGCTGGCCGAACAGCTGCCCCTCTCCACTTGCCCCGCTGCTGTGCCCCTCACCCCTCCCTTGAAGCAGCAGCTGCAGGGGAATGCAGGGGGGGGACATGGCAGGGGTGCCTGTGGGCCAGGGCAACAGCTGGGTCCATTCCTGGCGTGCCTGATGCCTGCCAGGCCATCCAGGAACGGGGTGGTCCGGATTCCAGTCTTGGGGGAAGGGGCTCGGGCCTGGGAAGCTTGTGGGGAGTGCAGACCCCACCCACCCTCCAGCAGGCTGCAGGCCTCCCACCTGGTTCCTAGAACATGAGAAACCCAGGGCAGGGAGCGGTGTTGGAGGGGCCTGCGCACTCGCCAGTGTAGGATTAACCCCATAACCTCTTCCTCGAGCCCCTTTCTGCAGCTGCGCTTTGTCGGCTTTGCCCAGCTACACTGGGCAAGTAAGAGAAAATGTTCCCTTCCCTGGATTCAATCACGTCACCGCGGTGGGCAGGGCTCCGAGAAGCTGGGCCACAGAAGCAAATGTCCACCCATGCTCGGGCCTGCTGCCTGCCGTCTGAATCTTGGCAGTGGTTGTAGGGAGCCCCAGGGCCCCCTAAAGGCCAGCAGTGCCAGAAGATAAAGCAGGCTCTCCTCACTTGACACCCAGCCTCCCCAGTCAGCAGCTTCTCTACCCAGGGTGGCCACCCAGGGCAGGTGAGCATCCGGCTTTCTTCCCAGGCTCCTGGGAGACTGGGCCGTACCGTCTCATTCCGTGTTCTGGACACACCAGGGGCTAGTGGAGAGAAGCAGAGAATTCTTGGCCGCGCCCAGGTGGAACAGATTCCCGCAGGGGGCAGTGGGGAGCTTTATGGCTCGGAAACCCCTGGGGTTGGGTGTCGGGGCTGGGGGCCGGTGCAGTGAGGGGACGATGGCCCATGTCTCTGGAGCTTGCAGACTGTGCTCTCAGGTTCTTGGTTAAGGGGAAGGCCAAGGATGAGCGTGGGGGTGTCGTTGGGCATCATGTGGGGGAAGTGGATCCATGAGGCCCCTTGGCTCTGGCCTGACATGAGAAACAGCAAGGCTGGATGGCGTAGGTGAGCCCGTTCCACTCCATGGTGTTTTCCGTGGTGGCCGTCCTCTGCCCATGTGCTGGGGGTCTGTGTGACCTGGCTTTGTCCGTGGGGCTTTGTCCTGGCACCAGATGTCCCATGATCCCCCAGGTGGCACCCAGGCCTTCCCCCAGCTGGCCACGTCGTCTGGGAAGGGGGTGGTAGGAGGACAAAGACTAGCTGAGCAAAGCCCCGGATAGCCGGAAGTGGGCTGTGGCCCAGCCCAGGCACCCCACCCACTGCAGCCTCTGATCTGGGCAGGGGGCCCCTGCCAAGGCTCTGTGGCTTCTGCTGACCTCCTGGACGTGGGCCGTGGACAGACTGGGGCCCGGGACTCCCAGGCTCTGCCACGACCACACTGGCCCCACAGCACACTGGTGGACATCTGGGAGCATCAGCCAAGGCAGCTGACAGGGACTGGTGGGGGGCAGCCGGAGGCTGTGTGTGGGCTGCACGGGGCAGAGCGTGTCCCCTCCTGTTCCTCCAGGAGCCTGAGGTCAAGGACTGTGTGCGGAATGTCCCCCACCTGCCCCCCCCCCCCCAAGTGCTCTCCAGCTCCAGTCTCCTCCACACTGAGGCTGGGCTGCTTCCAGAGCATGCTTCTGTGAGTGGTGGAGGCTCAGACACCGGTTGCCCGTGGCCCCCAGCTCTGGTGCTCTCTGGCTGTGTGGGCTAGAGCAAATGGCTCAGCCTCTCTGAGCCCCGTGCTGGGGAACCGTGATACGAGACAGTCACCACCCTTTCCTAGGGGCTGTGAGGGCTGAGAGAGGGCCGGGGCAGGGGACAGGAAGTGAGAGAGGTGGAGGACCGGGGAGGATGCTGAGCGCCACGCTGGCCTCGGGGTGCTCAGGAAGCAGATGCTGTCCCCACTAGTGTGATGACAAAGGCCAGCAGGTCTCCACTTGGTGGAAACAGCTGACCTGGAAGTGGTTTGTGCTTCGTGGTTTTGGCGAGAAAGCCCCCACTGTCCCAGGCAGGCTTGGGACCGGTGCTGCCATCTGTCAGGCTGCAGGTGGCTGGGGGGCCCCGGCCAGGGGCTGGGTCTTTTCTATAAACCGTGTTCGCAGCTACCTAGATTCCAGGCCCCTGGGGTTTCAGATGAGGAGGCAGGAGGATTCCAGACCTGAGGAGGCGGCCTGGGGCCACAAGGAGAGCTGAGTGGTGGCTTGAATGTTACTGCTGTTTTGTCTACAAAGCGTGTCCAAATGTGTTATGTGCTAGCCCCGGGCACAGAGACAAAGCCTGGCTGGGTGTGGGGGAGGCCGGGGACGAGCGTGGAGGCAGCCGACATCTCCTCCCTGCCCCTGTCCTGCCCCACCCCAAAGCCCCCCACTCACTTGTCACCAATGCCTCCTCCTGAGGCCACAAGGCCACCCCATCCCATGCTCACCCCTCTGTGCACTGTGTGGCCCAAGGCAGCGCCTGGGGGGTGAGTTCAAGGGGTTGAAGAAGGAAGGGGCAGCCAGGAAGCAGGGCCCCCTTGGAGGCGCCCTGGGAGCCACCCCGGGCCACCTGAGCAGGAGGGAGCCCCCCTCCAGAAGGGCCCAAGGGCCTGGAGACCCTGTGTGGGGCCAGGGAGCTTCTAAGGCCATCCCTGGAGCACTAGGGGCTGGTGTCTGGGAGGGGGAGCCCCTCTGAATGCCCCCAGCCCGCCGGCTGGCTGTTCCTACCCTGGGCTTGGGGACGGGCAGGGCAGGGCGTTTCTACCGGTGTTGTGGGGTGGGCGTGGCCAGCCTTGGAGGGCACATTGCTCACATTCTCCTGCAGCCAAACCCAGCTGGGTCCCAGCCGGTGACCCGCCCCCTCCCCCAGGCCCCAGCCCGGTCCGACGGCTCGTCTCCAAGCCCAACCAGACTCTGCTCCTGGATACCCTAGTGCCCAGCCAGCCACAGAGCCCGGGCCCACGCTGCTGGGGAGCCTGCGGCAGAGACCCCATAGCTAAACCAGGGCCATCCAGGAAATTCGGGATGTGTTTGGGGGCTGCAGCCAGCTCTGCCCTTAACTCATGGGATGGGTGCCTTTTCTGGCCTCCGTCTCCACCTGAGCTGTGAGGTGGGACTATCTGTGGTCACCATGGGAAGCTGACACTGGGTCTCGAGAGACTTTCGGTGTCACGGCTGCCCCCCTCCTACCATGCTCTTTCATGGCCCCGGTTCTGAGCCCAAAACCTGGCCCAGGGAAGGGCCTGGGGGTGTGCCTGCCTGCCCCCACCCCACCCCTGGGGTGCCACATGCCCCCCATCCTCCCTTGGCAGCCCTACAGGCCCCAGGCCCCTCAGTTTCCCGGAGAGGGAGGGAGGAACGATCCCCGGGTTCCAGGAACCAGAGTACTGGTGTGACCTTGGTCCATGGTTCTGGGGCACCCGCATGGAGGTGGCCCCTGGCGTTGCTGTCCCGTCTCTGCCCCATGGGCCTTGCATACCCACCAGCGGCTGGGTCCGTCTACACTGGGAATTCAGAGCAGTTTCCAATCCCTACCGACGTCCTGGAAATCGAGGCCTGTCTTCCTTCCCACGGAGCAGCCGGGAGATGCCACGTGGGGGCTGCCCGTCCAGACAGCTGAAGAGCCTGAGCAAAGGCCTGCCTCCTGGAAGCATTTGGAGTCCTCAGACAGGAGCATGGGCCTGGTCAGCCTGGACCAACCCTTGAGAACTGAAGCCCCGAGGAGGCCTGGTGGGGCTGCTTGTTGCCTCCACGGCCCCACCCCTGACAGATCCAGCCTTGGGGAAGGGGAGGGATGCCTCCAGCACCCACCTCTCTTGCCTGCCCCACCCCGTTAGCCACACTCTGCTCATACAAAACGTCCCTGGGAGCCCCCCTTCCCCAACTGTTGTTCCCGTTGGCTGCCTTGCCCCCTACTCTGCCTCCCACTGCCCTGAGCACCCCGTGCTCCCCAAACCCTGGCACCCTCCATTCCTCCCAGCTGCTCCGCAAGCATTCAGGCCTGGGGCAACTCCTGGTCCCGGGAACCCCCAGGTGAGGACAGGAGCCAGATGCAGGGCAGTGGGGGCTCCAGGCTTGAGGTGTGGCTGCTGCGGTCTCCCGGGGCCATGAGCTCAGGGCTCTGATGGTTGGCGTCTCTGGGGCTCGGCTCACATGCTGTGTGATTGACAGCTGTCTCTGTCTTTGTTGTAGAGCCTGGGCCCGTCCTTGGGGGTCTCTGCACAGAAGAGGCCCAGTATCCTATACCCCTGGCAGCGGGCACCCGCGCCAGGCCGTGTGCGAAGAGCCTGGGTCATCCCCCCCATTAGTGTATCCGAGAACCACAAGCGCCTCCCGTACCCCCTGGTGCAGGTGAGGGGGCCAAGGGCGGTCCAGGGCAGAGCAGGGGCTGGGCTGTTCCTGGTGGGTCCCTGAAGGTGTGTGGTTGAGGACAGGTACGCCTTTGGGGCTGTAGGCTGGGAGAGGGGTCAAGGCTGTGAAGGGGAGGGACCTTGGCTTTGGGGGCATCTCCCTCAGCCTGTGTTCTGCCCTCACAGATCAAGTCGGACAAGCAGCCCCTGGGCAGTGTCATCTACAGCATCCAAGGTCCTGGTGTGGACGAGGAGCCCCAGGGCGTGTTCTCCATCGACAAGTTCACGGGGAAGGTGTTCCTGAATGCCATGCTGGACCGGGAGAAGACAGACCGCTTCAGGGTGGGGCCCACTGTAGTGGGGGCTGGCAAGAAGCTGGGGGCCTCCTCCTACCAGGCTCCTGGTCCCAGGGTTGGGGCATTAGGCCACATGTCCTTCATTGGGAGATAGGCACAAGGATTTGGGACTAAGACCTGCAGTCCAAAGAAGGTGTTGAGAATTATATTCCCATTTAACAGATGAGCATGCACAAACTGAGGCCCCGGGGAGGTGGAGCTTGGTCCTGCTCAGGGAGGCTGTCAGCCTCCCAGAAAAGCACCACTGGACCCTGGTGTAGTCTTCACCCTACATCAGCTCTGCCCCCAGCCTGGCTACGTGTGGTGGGAATGGGGTGTTGCAAAGAATCCCACGGTATGGCAATTCCCGATGGCAGCAGTCCCTTGATTCCCTTGATTCCAGGGACAGGACCCACCCCTTGGAGGAGAGGTTTGAGACCGAGGCTGGTGGGCAGGGAGATTAGGAGCCAGGCTGGCACTGGCAAGAGGCTGCAGAGGGGAGCGTGGACACCCCTGAGCTCCCCTACAGAGTAATCTGCCCTCCCCAGCCTGGCCTCTCCAAAATGCTGGAATTTGCCCGGGGTGGGGGCGGGGGGGGCGGGAGGAGGCTTCTGGCTTGGGATTTCCTGTGCTCGGACTTTAACAAGCTCTTGGTTGTTTCCCTTACACAGAGTTATCAGAGCCCGTGATTTCACCTGGAAATGATACCACACCCACTCTCCCGAAGTGTGGGAAATGGTTTAATTTTAAGTGTTCGTGTATTTAGTGAGCTTCAAGAGCAGCCTAAACCAGTTAGCAGAAGGGAAGCGGGGGGGCTAGTGAGAGTGTGCCTGCAGCCTCACACAAAGCACAGCTGTGAGCTTCCCAGCAGCCAAGGCAAGAGGGGAAGCTGTGGGCCAGCAGGCTGGTCTTCGGGGAGGTTGCTTCGGCCGTGCCCACATCCCACCCCGTGCCGTTGGTCCCCTGTTGAAGCTGGTGTTCCCAGCGGCACACCGAGTCTGCACTCGCTGTCCCTTCGCACAGCCTGGTGGGAACCACCCAAATCTGGCGAGCACTGCTCCAGCCCTCCCTCTCTGCTTGGCTAGCTAAGGGCCTTTGCTCTGGACCTGGGAGGAGCCACCCTAGAGGAGCCCACCGACCTGGAGATCGTGGTCGTGGATCAGAATGACAACCGGCCCGTCTTCCGGCAGGAGGCGTTCACGGGCCAAGTGCTGGAGGGTGCAGTCCCAGGTGAGGGGGAGCTTGGGGGACTTCCGCGGAGGGACTCCAAGTCGGTCCGAAGGCCCAGGGTTCCCTTCAGCAACACTTTCCGTGATCCTTCGAACAGTCGGAAAATAAGCAGACTCTCCAGGAGTAGGGACTTTCCACAAGTCAGCTCGAGTCACTTCTCATTTCAATATAAACTTCAAACCCCAACGTCTCCCCAGACGCAATGAGAGGACTCGCGGATGGCCAAGCTCTGGGTGCCACTGCAGCTCTGCACAGAGGTAAAATCCACACGACATACAAGGAACCACTCTGTGGATTTGGCACAGGCCCCGGGCCCTAACCAGCTCCTCGGGCCGGTTTCAGAGCTTTCGGCCCCCCCAGGAAACCCACCCCCATTAGCAGTCACCCCGCTCCTTGCTTCTCAGTCCTACATCTTGATCACAAATAAACCTTCTGTCCTTCATGAGTCTCTACGGGATGGCCTTGCTTCCTCACCTGTCCCAGGCAGGACGGACCGCATTCCAAACAGCAACTCCCTTCTTCCTTCCCGCTCTGCTCCCAGGGGTTTGGGGCAAAGCTCGGGCAAGCCGTGCACCTCAGGCGGGGAGTGTGGACTCATGGGAGGTGGGCTCCTGTTTGGCCACTCGTGGTTCTTTTATTTCATCTCAGTTTTTGTGTTTCAAGACTTAAAATATTTTTTTTACTTCTATTTTTTAAAAAAGATTCATTTATTTGAGAGATAGTGTGTCTTCTCCCTCTCGCACTCCCCCTGCTTGTGTTCCCTCTCTCGCTGTCTCTCTCTCAAATAAATGAATAAAATCTTAAGAAAAAAAAAGAGAGTGTGAGCACAGGGCGGAGGAGTAGAGGGAAGGGGAGGGACAGTCTTAAGCTGACTCCACGCTGAATCCATGCGGGCTGGATCCCAGGACCCTGAGATCATGACCTGAGCCAAACCCAGGAGTCGGACGCTTAACCGACTGAGCCGCCCAGGCGCCCCTACTTCTTTTTATTTTGACATAATTTGAGACTTGCAAAAAAGTTGCAAAGAATTGCAACAGAGATGTAATGTTTATCATGTTTGCTTTAAAGTTTTTTCTTTTTCTTTTTTTCCTTCCTTCCTGCCTCCTTTCTTTTTGGACTACTGGATGCAGACGGGATCCCCTCAAAGAATTCACCCTCATAACTTTGACACAGTGTAACTCTCAGAATCAGGAAGCTCGTGCGGACACACACTAACAGTTTCAGCCGGGGATGCCTTTCTAGCTGAGAACCTCCTCTCGTGTCCCACCGCTCTTCCGAATCCCCCATGTGTTGGGGAGTATTGTCCACCTTCTCCAGGAGAGGCTCCCACACCCTGACCCGTTCTTTCCCAGCTCTGTCGGGTAACGGCCCAAACACCTGCTCAGCCGTAGATCTGGTTCTTTTGGCCGTTTGATCATCGAGGACGGATTCTTCTCTCGCTCTTCTGTGTGTGAAAGCACAGGAGAGAGGGAGGGAAGCAGTAGACGTCTGGGAATGCAGGATGGCTCTGCTTGGGGAGGCGGCTGACGGGCCGGTGCAGATGGTCTTCTCTGCAGCGGGGCTGGCCCTGGCCTCTGTTGCCGCCTTAGTTCAGCCTCCTGGGGCTCCTCTTGGTATTGATACTGTACGTCAGCTTCAGCAAGCCCTGCGTGGTCCATGCACAGAGCACTCTTTCCATGCTCCTGTCCCCTCCCAGGGTGACCGCTGTTGCATGGTACCTGGGCAAGGCTCTAGCGGAGCAGGGGGTGTCAGTTGTAGGTGGTCCCTCTGCACCTGAGCCTTTGGAGGAGAGCTTTATCGGGGTTCTCTCCCTCCAGCTCAGGGCAGCATCCTCCCCTCCCCCTTCAGTCCCCACCATTGCCCAGAGCATTACTGGGTGTCTAGTTCTCCTTGCCCCGAACTTAGGCAGACCTTGCCTGAGCCACAGGTGCCCTCCCAGGCTTCCTCCTGCCCCTGTATTTCTTGTGAGCCCTCCAGGGCCAGTGGAGAAGAGCTGACCATGGGCACAGACCCCCTTGTGTGGGGGCTCCCAGGACTTTGAGCCATCATGGTGGTCCACACTCAGCCTTGGACAGTCTGATCCACTTCCTCTGTCTGCTTGCCTGCCCTGCTCCACCAAAGGTGAAGCCTCTACACGTCCACCCTGTCCTCAGGCTGGGCACATCCTGGATGCCAGTTTATCATTTTACCTTGTGCCCTCGCCAATCAGACGAACTCAAGTACGATTTTGTGTGTCATCCGCGCATTCCCGTCGTTAGCTGGGGGCTGCGTTCCCTGCCCATCATTCTCCTCTGTCTGCAGTAGTAGTCACTTAGCCGTTAGGTTTTGAGGACACTGACATTTTTTTCAACAAAATTTTGTTGTGCCGAAATAAGTACAAATGCTACCATCCTACCCATTTTTAAGGGGCAGTCCGGTGGTACTAGATTTTTCACAGTGTTGTTTGGCATCCCCACCACTCACCCCTGTAACTCTCCTTCCCACACAGACGCTCTGCCTCCCCTTCCCCAGGCCCCGGCTCCTGCCATCTACTCTCCACCCCTATCGATCTGTCTACTCTGCGGACCTCCTGTCGGTGGACTCGTACAGCCTTCTGGGACTGGCTGGTCTCGCTGACCACGAGTGTCCTCCAGGTCCAGCCTGTAGCACGCGTCAGATTTTCCTCCTCCTTAAAGCTGAATGATACTCCATTACGTGGATGGACCACATTTCCCTTATCCATTCACTTGTACGTGGACACTTGGGCTGCTTTCACGTTTTAGCTCTTGTGAATAATGTTGTTACGGATGTGAGTGTACAAACAGGTCTTCACGCTCCTGCTTTCAGAAGTGGAATTGCTGGGTTATATGGTAGCTCTGTGAGTGATGCCATGCTGTTTCCCCCACAAGCAGCGCACGGGGTCCCAGTCTCTCCGCATCCTTGCCAATGTTTATTTTCTGGGGTTTTTTTTTTTGTAGTAGCTATCCTAACAGGTGTGAGGTGATGTCTCACTGTTGTTTTGGTTTGCATGTCCCTGATGATGAGTGATGTGTGGAGCATCTTTTCAAATGAGTATTGGACATTTGTATATTTTATTTAGAGGAATGTCTCTTCAGGTCCTTTGCTGAGTTTTGGATTGTGCTGTGTTTTTGTTGTTGAGGTTTTTTTTTTTTTTAAAGATTTTATTTATTTATTTGACAGAGACACAGCAAGAGAGGGAACACAAGCAAGGGGAGTGGGCAGAGGGAGAAGAAGGTGTCCCGCGGAGCAGGGAGCCCGATGTGGGGCTCGATCCCAGGACCCTGGGATCATGACCTGAGCCGAAGGCAGATGCTTAACGACTGAGCCACCCAGGCACCCCTTGATGTTGAGTTTTATGGGTTCTCTGTATACCCTGCATATTCCTTGATCTATACAGATATATCTATATGATTTCCAAATATTTTCTCCCATTCTGTGGATTACCTTTTTTTACCTGGTTGGGAGTGTCTTTGATGCACAGCGTTTGAAAATGTTCACGAGTCCAGTTTGTCTAGTTTTTGGTGCTGATGCCTTTGGTGTCCTATCCGGAAATCATTACCGCATCCAGTGTTGTGAAATGTTTGCCCTGTTTTCTTCTAAGAGTTTTATAGTTTTAGGTCTTACATTTAGGTTTTTGATATACTTTGAGTTAATTTGTGTGTATGGTGTGAGGTAACGGTTCAGCTTCATTCTTCTGCAGGGAGATGTCCAGCTTTTCCAGCACCATTTGTTGAAAAAGACTGTTCTTCTCCCCCTTGAATGGTCTTGGCACCCTGGCCAAAAATTACTTGACCACATGTGTGTGGGGTTATTCCTGGACTCCATTCCACTGGTCTATCTTGTGGCCATACCACACTGTTTTGATCACTGTACCTTTGGAGGAGTTTTGAAATCAAAAAGTATGAGTCTTCCAGTTTTGTTCTTTCTCAAGATTTGTTTTAGTTAGGGCGCCTGGGTGGCTCAGTTGGTTGGGCGACTGCCCTCGGCTCAGGTCATGATCCTGGAGTCCCGGGATCGAGTCCCACATCGGGCTCCCTGCTCAGCGGGGAGTCTGCTTCTCCCTCTGACCCTCTTCCCTCTTGTGCTCTCTATCTCTCATTCTCTCCTTCTCAAATAAATAAATAAAATCTTTAAAAAAAAATCTGTTTTAGTTATTTGGGTTTCCTTGAGATTCTGTGTAATTTTAGAACGGTTTTTCTACTTATGCAAAGAAATTGTCCTTGGGATCTTGATAGAGAGTGCGTTGAATCTGTAGATCACTTTGGGCAGTATTCACGTTTAATGATAATAAGTTTCCCGGGGCACCTGGATGGCTCAGTCAGTTAAGTGTCCGACTCTTGATTTCAGTTCAGGCCATGAGATCGAGCCCCACATTGGGCTCCAAGCTGGGTGTGGAGTCGCTTGAGACTCTCCCTCTGCCCCTACCCCCCTAAAAAGAATATATATATAAATATATAAAAATATGTATAATATATAAATATATATTTCATATATATCCTATAAAAACTTATATATATGTATGTATTTAAAGTCTCCCAATCCATGAACGTGGGATGTGTTTCCATTTACTTGTGTCTTTCATTTCTCTCCGTGGTGTTTTGTAGTTTTCAATGTACAGGTCCTAACACTGACATTCTAAAGCACTTATGCAGTTATTTTGGAGACTGTGGGTCTGAGTGTGAGTTTGTGTGGTTGGATTCAGGATTTGCACTTTGGTGATGCCGTGTTCTCCTTGGTGCATCCTATCGGGAGGCACACGTGTCTGGTTCCTGAAGACATTGGCTTTGATCTGCTCGATAAGGGAGTGTCTGCCAGGCTTCTCCACTGTGATTTTTATATTTTTCCCTTTGTAATTAATAGGTATCTTTTGGAAGATACCCTGAGACTGTGCAGGTACCCTGTTACCCCTTACCCAGCAGAGTTGGCATCTGCTGAGGGTTCTTGTTCTCGTGGCTGGGAGGTGCTGGTTCCCTCCTGCGGTGTCTCTTCTCCCTTCGTCAGTGGGCTTTCTGCTCTATGAGGGCACTTCTCCCCTGTGTATGTATGTGCCTGTGTATGTTCCGTGTTTTGTTTTTTTATATTTCTCTGGACTCTCAGAGTCTGATTCATTCAGTGGGTTATGATTCGTTACAGCCATTACTTTGATGCCCAAATCGTCCCACGTTTGGCCAACAGGAGGCTCACCAGACTGGCTTCTTGTTGGGCCCTTCCACCAGGCAGAGCTGGGAGCCATGCTCCTTTGTAGACAGATGTGTGCACAAGTGTGTTGTGTGTGCCACTCACACCTGTACATACATGTCTCTCACCTTCGTTAGTCGTGAGTTCCCACTGGCCCTCTGTCTCCCCGGGGCTGGCCCCAGGGTTTCCAGCTGGCTCACCCCATGTGACCCGGGGCTCTCGGCCCCTCCTGGGCTGTCTCCATGTCTGGGAACACGGGTGTCAACTCTGGATTAAACACGTATATCAGACATCCTGCTTCCTCCTCCAAACAGCACAAGACAAAAGGTTGAAGTTTGTGCAGGCCGGATGGGGGGCTGGACCTGGCGTGGTGGGCCACAGGCAAGTGTTGAGACGCATCCTGGGGGTCAGGCTGGCACCTGTGTGCGTGTCCCTGCTCATCCCTGTCCTTACTAGGCACCTACGTGACCAGGGCCGAGGCCACAGATGCTGATGACCCAGAAACCGACAATGCAGCCCTGCGATACTCCATCCTGGAGCAGAGCAGCCCCCAGCTCTTCAGCATTGATGAGCACACGGGGGACATACGCACCGTGCAAGTGGGTCTGGACCGTGAGGTGAGATGACCTCAGATGCTGGGGGGCAGCCAGGGGCCCTTCTGACCCACCTTTGCCCACCTTGTTGTCCCTCTGAGCCTGATGGGAGCAGCTCACTTCCAGTTGGGCCCCCTGCCCCAGCCTTGCCTGCCCCAGATGCTCCTCCTGCCACAGGAGCAGGGAGCCCCCCACTTGCTGCAGACCCTCGCAGTGGCTTGGGGCACACTCTCAGCTGGGACACCTCTGTCTCGTGGCTGGTTGTGGGGTTAGGCCTGAAAGTCCGTCCGTGCAGTCTGTCCATGCAGCGCCTGGCCCTGACAAGTCCTCAGTGTGTTTTCTGCCAAAAGCCTCTCTGCCTTGTTGCCTGCAAAGGCTTCAGGCTTCCTGGCCTCGGATAGAGCCATGCAAGTGGCTCCACAGTGACCAGTCATGCTCTGGAGTAATAACCACTCTGGTGTAGTCTTCCTCTGTGGGGACCCCTGCTGCCCCTCGCTGCCGGGCTTCTGTCCAGCTTTGACACCTCCAGGAAGCCCTCCTTGGTTTCCCCGTGGCCACCTGCACAGCTCTGTCTGGTCCCTTGCAGCCTTAGGTGGTCCTCATTGGTCTGTCTCTCTCTCTGCCTCTGGACATGGCTCCCCAGGACAGGAACCCAGCTCGCTGGTGCCCTTCAGCACCCAGCATGCAGTAGGTGCTCCGTGAATCTTGTCCAACTTGGTAACTGACCTCTTTCCCCCTCACAGGCTGGGGCAGAGTGTGGGGTTGGCAGTGGTGTGGTCAGACCCAGAGAGCCAGGTAGCACGTTTGGCCCCAGAGCTTGGGACCAGGGCAGGGCGCTTGGGGCCACTTGGGGCTCCGGATGCCCACAGGGCTCTCCTGTGAGGGTTTCTTGCCCCACCCCCCAGGCCCCCTGACTGCGTGTTCCTGTGCCCCCAGGTGGTCGCCGTGTACAACCTGACCCTGCAGGTTGCGGACATGTCTGGAGATGGCCTCACCGCCACGGCCTCCGCCATCATCACCCTCGAGGACATCAATGACAATGCACCTGGGTTCACCGGGGATGAGGTGCTGCCGCCTTTCACACTCCTGCTGGCCCCTGCTGGGGACTGCCCTTCCCTCCTCTGGCTCCTGGCAGGGACACGGGACTTTGTGGAGGGATGGGAGGTTGGGTGCTTTGGAGAAGGAGCCGTGCATGGGTAAGGCAGAAACCCAAGCTAGAGTAGTTGCTGTGAGCACATAAGCATGGTCGGAGGAGCTGGGAGAGAGGCCCTGGGGAGAAGCAGCCCTTGGGCAGCAGGAAGGAACGTTCCCTACAGCCTTGCTGTGTGGGAGGGGGCAGCCAGCCCTGCCCTCCAGGAGAAGGCAGCCCACAGGGTGCCTGGCACACAGCTGGACCCACAGAGTGGGGCTCGTGGGCACCCCTGGGGGGCTAGGTGGGCCACAGAGTTGGCTGGGAGGGAGCAAGGGAGGGCATCCCCGCACAGGACCATCTCCCTGCCCCCCGGCAGTAATGAGGGCTGGGCTCCCACAGTTCTTCATGGAGGTCACAGAGGCCATCAGCGGAGTGGATGTGGGGCGGCTCGAGGTGGAGGACAGGGACCTGCCAGGCTCCCCCAACTGGGCAGCCAGGTTCACCATCCTGGAGGGTGACCCCAATGGACAGTTCGCTATCCACACAGACCCCAAGACCAACGAGGGCGTGCTGTCCGTGGTGAAGGTGAGTGGGGTGCGTGGCTCTCCTAGCTGGGGTCTGGCTGCTGGCCCCCAGCGCAGGGGGCCCTGTCTGGGGCATCCTCTGGAGAGAGCAGAATGCCGGGGGAGCCGGGAACGCTGGGGCTCTAGGCTCAGGCCACACTGGCCCCAGGGCACCAGGGCCAGAAGGAGGGGCGCCCCCACCGCCCGTGGGCTGTTTATGGAGCTGTGCCTCTTCAGGTGTGTGGTGATGTATATAAACACAGACCGCACCTGTGTCCGCCAGATGGGAGACCAGAGACACGGAAGCCGTGGTAGCTACGTGGACGCCACACATAGAGATGCAGGTCCACTTAGATACGGTACAGGAAGGGCTTTATTGCAAGAAGCCGGTTTGCAGGGCCGGCCAGCAGGCTGGAAACGCCTTTCTCCTCAGGAAGATCTCCGTTTGCTCTTGATGACTTTGGGCTACTGAGGAGGCCCACTTAGGTCGTCCAAGATCATCTTCATTTCAAGTCAGCTGATGGTAGAGGTTAATTTAACCCCAGCTACCAAACCCCTTCCCCACAATCCCCCGATGAGTGTTGCCCGAGTCACCGGGGAGCACCACCTGACCAGAGACACATAAAGCTGATGACACGACACCTAACACATTCATTTTGAGTGATGAGTATTTATCGTTTTTACATCATTCTTTGTGCCTTTTGGTCCTGAATCATTTTTATTTTCCAGGGCTGAAAAGGGAAGGGGACCGTGAGGAGAGACAGCGGGGCAGCAGGACCCCTGTGAGGCCTCGCAGGGCCCCACAGCTGCCTCTGGGGGGCCCAGAGTTGTGAGTGACTTCCAGTTCTGCTCCCCCTCTCCAGCCCCTGGACTACGAGCGTTGTGAGCAGTACGACCTCACAGTGGAAGTGCAGAACGAGGCTCCCCTGCAGGCAGCTGCCCCCAGGGCCGAGCGGGGCCAGGCCAGGGTCCACGTGCAGGTGCAGGATGTCAACGAGGCGCCCGTGTTCCAGGAGAACCCACTGCGGACCAGCCTGCCCGAGGGGGCGCTCCCAGGAACCCCCGTGGCCTCCTTCTCTGCCCAAGACCCTGACACACAGCAGCTGCAGAGGCTCAGGTGGGGGCCGCAGGGGTAAGGTAGAGGGAGCTAAGGGCCCCGTTTGTCCATTTCCCAGCCAGGGCCGGGAGCACGGCTGAGGGCTCCCATCAGTGCCCTGATCAGAGGGTGGAGGGCTCTTCTGTGCATCCCTGAGGGTCCATGGGGTCTCACGCCCTGTGCATGTGTGCGTGCTGCTATGAATTTGTCCCATAAGGCAGGGCTGGGACCTGCCCAGTCTGTTCTGGCCAGCCTGAGTGCCCAGCCCTGTCCATTCTGGTGAGCTGATGCTCCTATGGGGTCAGCCGTTCAGAGTTGGATTTCACCCCCAGCACGGCCCTGTGTATCTGTGTCTGTCTCCACGGTGCCCAGGCGTTAAACCTTGCTGTGGTACTCAGTGGCCATGGGGCCCTGGCCCCTGACCTCAGTTTCCTCATCTGTCAACTGGGACAGTAAACACCAACTCACGGCAGTTGGAGGACTAGCTTCAGAGGTGCATGTGTGTGCGTATGGTGTGTATGCGTGTGGGGGTGTGCCCAGGTGTGTGTGCAAACGTGTGGGACATATGTGTGTGTATGCATGTGGGGGTGTACTATATGTATGCATGTGTGTTGAGGTGTGACCCCACTTCTGGGGGTTCTGTGAAAGCTCAGGGCCACTCTGTCCCCTCCTCGGCCAATAGCTACTCCAAGGACTACGACCCGGAGGACTGGCTGCAAGTGGACAGAGCCACGGGTTGGGTCCAGACCCAGCGAGTGCTCAGCCCAGCATCACCTTTCCTCAAGGACGGCTGGTACAGGGCCATTATCCTGGCTTTCGATGATGGTGAGGGCTGAGCCTGTGCCTAGGCTCCCGGGCTCCCTGATCCGGGCTGGGCATCCCTGTCACTGCCCAGGGGCTCAGAGCTGTGCACTCCATGGAGCAGACTTCTAGGGTGGGCGCTCTGCTCTAGCAGAGCAAGGAGCCCACCAGGCCTCTTCTGCCTGCAGCCTCCCCACCTCGCACGGCCACTGGGACCCTGTCCATTGAGATCCTGGAGGTCAATGACCACGCCCCTGAGCTGTCCCCGCCATCTGGTAGTGTGTGCAGCAAGCCAGATCAGGGCTCTGGCCTTCTCCTGGGGGCCACGGATGAGGACCTGCCCCCCCACGGGGCCCCCTTCCACTTTCAGCTGAGTCCCCGGGTCCCAGAGCTGACCCAGAACTGGAGCCTTAGCCAGATTAATGGTGAGCTCCCCCAACCACAATCCTGAGGGTCCAGACCTGAGACGGGGGGTGGGGTGGGGGGGTTCTCAACACCGTGGTCCTCTGGTTCCCACTTCAGTGCATCCTCAGACCGGGCGGGAACTTCACTCGCAGGGGGCAGATGGGGAAACGGAGGCCTGGGGTCTCGGGATCCCCGCCCAGCAGCAGAGGGCGCGGAGGGGCCCTGGAAGGATAGGGTGGGGGTGGGGTGGGGACTCCTTTGGCCCGGAGACCCCTTCTGACCTTGGGCGCCCTCCGCAGTGAGCCACGCGCGCCTGCGTCTACGCCACCAGGTCCAGGAGGGCCTGCACCGCCTCAGCCTGCTCCTCCGAGACTCAGGGCAGCCGCCCCAGCAGCGCGAGCAGCCCCTGAACGTGACAGTGTGCCGCTGCGGCCAGGACGGTGCCTGCCTGCCAGGGGCCGCTGCCCGGCGCACGGGGGGCGCGGGCGTCAGCCTGGGCGCCCTGGTCATCATGCTGGCCAGCGTCATCCTGCTCCTCTGTGAGTCCCACGTGCTGACACCTGCTGCCCGCAGGCCCCGCCCCCAGCCGGCCCCACCCCCAGCCGGCCCCGGCCCACCCCCCACCCCACGCCCGACGTCCAGTCCAGCCTCTGCTTGAGGGCCAGGCACCCACCGCCTCCTATCTGCTCTCCCTCCTCCCCACTCAGTGCTTGCCCTGCCGGTGGCCCTCGTCACGCGGTCCCGGCAGCAGTCCGGGGACAAGGGACTTCTGCACGGGCTGCACGACGACCTCCGGGACAACATCCTCAACTACGATGAGCAGGGGGGCGGAGAGGAGGACCAGGTGAGGGGAGGGTGTTGGGGGATGTGGTGAGTTAGAAATGTTAAGTGGTGGGGAGGGTCCCTGAGGAGCCGAGGCTGTGGGCCCCCACCCGGCACCCCCCCACCCCTCCCCTGTCCCGCCGTCCAGGAGGAGGGGCGGGGCTCCAGCTGGCCGGCAGGTCCTCATAGGTCCTCGCCCCCAGGCACGTCCCGCACAAGGTGGCTGGGAGGGAAACCCCACCCTGTGATTGATCGGGGATGAATTCCGCCTACTTCGTCCCCAGGATGCCTATGACATCAACCAGCTGCGCCACCCAACAGAGCTGGCAGCCCTGCGCGCCCCCCTGGGACGGCCGCCACTGCGCCGAGATGCCCCGTTCAGCCGAGTGCGCCCCCAGCCACCCCGCATGCTGCCCACCAGCCCTGCCGATATCGCTGACTTCATCAATGACGTAGGTGCCCCTGGAGGACCACAGCCACAAAAGTCCTGTGGGAAAAGGAAGCTGACCAGCCCCTGGGGGATACTGGTGGGCGTGGCTGAGCTGGGGTGGGTTGGGGCTTGCTCTGGAGCACTTTCCATTGGGCACCGACAGAGAAAAGTGGGTGTGCTCCCGGGGTTGGGAGTGCAGCGGTCCCTGGAATCCAGGCGCCCCGGTAGTTTATGTGGACACAGCATCAGTGAGTTCCTGCAGGAGATGCCCAGAACACAGGAACCCACTTGCAGGGGCTGAGGGAGAACCCAAGGGCACCTCCCACTACTCTACCACGTGCCACGCCTGCTGGCACAGGAAGTGCTCCGGGTCAGAGAAACACCCCGACAGATGCCTGGGCAGGAACAAGCCCAGGTGCAGGTCACAGCTAGGAGGGTGTGTGACCCTGTGGGTGACAGGGCAGAGATGGAGGTGACAGAACCATTTGCAAAATTTTTAAAAGGGAGAAAGCAGGTGGTCTCCCAGGTGGGACGTCAGGGAGTCTCAAGTATCCCAGCCCTAAGGAAGAAGAGCCACCCAGAGGGGAATGTCTCCTCACATCCTGGGCAGGGGCTCCCAGCTCTTGTGTGCTTGGGGCTGTGCCCCTCAGGCCTCCTCTGCCCATCCGCCCCCGCCCCCAGTGTCTATGCCTTGGGCTAGCTCGCCCTGTGCTGCAGTCTGGGTGGTGGCGGGCACCCGGGGTTGGCGTGTGCAGGGGTCCTGAGCTCCCGGGGCCTCTCTGCAGGGCTTGGAGGTGGCAGACAGTGACCCCAGCGTCCCGCCCTACGACACAGCTCTCATCTATGACTACGAGGGGGATGGTTCTGTGGCAGGAACGCTGAGCTCCATCCTGTCCAGCCTGGGGGACGAGGACCAAGACTACAGCTGCCTCCGGGGCTGGGGCCCGCGCTTCGCCCGGCTGGCTGACCTGTACGGAACCCCGTGAGGGCCAGACCGAGGGCCAGGGCAGTGGGCTTTCTGATCAGACCCCAGACACGGAGGGCAGACGTCCTTCCCAGGACGGGCAGCCTGACCTCAAGGGCCTGGTGCGCAGCTCTGAGGGCCGGCTGACCTCTGCAGAGGTGGCCAGAGGGTACCGGGCTCCGTCCCTGAGGCCCTTGTGCAGGCTGCTTCTCCTGGGGAGACCCGAGTCCAGGGGGCCCACAGCCTGGAGCGCCAGACCGCATCGGAAAGGAAAACCAGACAACCCGGCTTTCAGTCGCCCCCCACTTACGCAGACCTCATCTTTGTGTGAAAGGAAGCAGCCCTCCCTCCCCAGAATTAAAAACGTGCTCTTCTCTCCATGGCGGGTGCGCAATGACCTGCAGAGCCCAGCTCCACCCGCTCCTGTCTGCAGCACTGGGCTGCCCCCCAGCCTCCCGCTGTCCCCCAGGGCGTGGGCTGCAGGCGGTAGTGAGCTACGCGCAGCCGCTGGGCCTGCGGGAAGCAGTGAGGACGCCAAGTTCCATGGATGTCTTTATCCTGGGGGGCGGGGATGCGAGGAGCGGGGGCCCTAGTGGGGGTGGTGGGGGTAGGGATGGCTCCGCCCGCAGCCCCGCCGCACCGGCCCGCGGCCACCCGAGGTTGCTGCGGCCAGCTCTCCTGGCACCGCTACTGCGGACAGGGGGTGGGCGGCAGCAGCGGCAGGTGGTCCGGGCGGGGGCGGCCCCCGCGGAGTGGGGACCGGCACAGGCGGTCGGCGTCCTGCACCGACGCGGGCAGCCCGCGGCCCCGGCTCTCCGGCAGCAGCAGGACGCACAGCAGGGCCAGGATGGCGAAGGAGGCGAAGACCACGTGGTGCAGGAAAAAGCCGCGCCGGCCGTGCAGGTCGGCCAGGGGGGCGGCCGCCTGGCCCAGAAAGCCGGCCCCCAGCACGAGGCCCAGGCCGGCCCCCCTGCGGGAGAGGGCCTGGTGTTGGGGGGGGGGCTGGGGTGGGGGTAGCCGGGGAGATGGGAGGTGGCAGGGGCACAGTGTGGGGGCTCCAGGAAAACCACACTCAAAAGTTTTTGTGGAAAAAGGTTCTCTTCCCCATCCTGGAACAAGTTTTGTTCTTTTCATTAGGGAAATGAGAAACCGGCTTTCCCCCTGAGATTCTGTCCTCTCTGGGGGCTGCCTCAACTCTGCCCACCCCCCACTCCCTTCTGTGACCAGCGTCCCCCAAGCCCCCTGGGAAGGGCGGGTCTGAAGCCTGGGTACAGACAATGGGATGGACGTAACCGGGAAGGTGGGGTGCGGCCTTACCTGGTCACCGTGGGCAATACCTCGGCCGCAAAGAGGCTGCTGAGAGCGGACACGGCCTGGGAGGCCAGGAGGCCCAGGACAGAGAGTGACCACATGGCCCATTCTGGCAGGTCTGGGGACAAGGAGAAGGCTCCCATACTGCCCATGGGGCCTGGCCTCCCAGCCTTTCACCACGCGGCTGCACCCTGTGCTGGGCAGGGGGCGTCAGGTGCTCCCGGCCGCCCCTACTTGAACCAGACCCTTATACTGAGCCCCTTCCCGTAGAATCCTTCGGGTGTCAGTTTGGCTACACAGCGGGGACATGAATTGGGTAAAAGGCACAGCTTCATTCCAACACCTGTGCTTCTCACTTGTGGGTCCAGGAGGGGGCTGATCCCAGTGCCCCACATCAGTCAGACCCTCAGCCAAACCAAGGACTCCACACTCACACTGGGTCCCGGCAAGAAGCAGCAGGGACGCCAGGCCCATGACCAGGGTGCCCAGCAAGAGGACGGGGCGTCGTCCCCAGCGGTCCCCCGTCAGCAGCAGGAACACAGTGGCTACGGCCTCCAGGCCAGCGCCCAGAAAGTAGGGCTGGTAGAAGGCGGGCTCACTCGGGGTCAGGCTGCGGAGGAAGCTGGCTCTGATGCCCCCGCAGATCAGCCTGGGAGGGAGGGGGGAGCTATGGCCTAACCAGGACAGGGGACTCCAGCAACCAAAGACCCACCCTGGGAGGAAGGCTCAGACAGTTAGCCCACCCACACCCTCCCCTCCTCACGAACTGAAGCCCAGGATGAGTCCATTTCTCCAGGCGATGCAGGTGTGCCGGAGCTCCAGGATGGAGTGGTACTGGGGCTGGGGGCTTCCTGCACCCAGCATGTCCAGTTCTGTGGCTCCGGGGATATGAGGGGGCACAGATGAGGGCCTGACCCTTCTCCTCCCTTCCCCAGCACCCATATCTCCCTTCTCCTGGCTGGTGCATTACCCGTAGCCAGGGAGCTCTCGTCCTCTGAGCTGTCCTCGGGGTCCGCGCCCCCAGCTTCTGCAAAGTGCCACAGGATCTTCCTGGCTCGGGCGGGCTGTCCCGTGGCCAGCAGCCAGCGGGGAGACTCAGGGAACAGGGGTGGGCACCTGCAAGGGCGGGGTGAGGATGCCCCGGGCCCTCTCTGTAGGGATGCCCGAGGCCAATGCCCCCGCCCGGGACCCAGGGGGAGAGGACACGCCGTGGCTTCCCGGGTCCCTGTCCCACTGCCACACGCATGGAGGGAAGTGACACACGCAGCCTCCACCGCTGGTACTGAACCATCTACCACCACACTTACCCCCAAAAGAGCAGCAAAAGCCCCGTGACCAGGGCGCTCAGCCCCTGCAGAAGGCGCCAGTCCTGCGCGAGCAGGGCCAGGCCGGGCAGCAGGAGGGTGCCCAGCACCGAGAAGAGGCCAGCCGCCACGGAGAACACCAGGCGGTGGGGGGGGTCGCACAGCTCCAGGCCTGAGCAGAAACAGCCTGAGACCAAGGCCTCTTGGGACGGCTGCTCTGTCCAGGGCTGTGGGGGACCAGTCACTAGCCTACCATGTCTGAGGCCACCCACTGCCTCCTCCAGCTCCCGGACCTTCCCACCAACAGCAGAGCTCACAGAACAAAGAGTGCCCCTCCCGCCGTCACCAGAAGGGCCCTCAGTGGGAGTGCCAGAGAGAGAGGCCTCTCGTGCCACCTGACTCGGCCCCGCAGCCGAGTGGGAGGCCTTGCTGGAGGGGGTGCTCCCCGCAAGCACCCCACAGTACTCACGAGCCAAGTAGAGGGCCAGGGAAAAGCCTGCCAAGGCCCCCCCATGAAGCAGCCTCAGAGCCAGCAGGGCAGGAAAGCTGGCCGCCAGGGCCTCACTGGCCCCCAGGCCCGTGGCCAGCACTAAGGAGGCCACAAACACAGCCCGACGTCCAAACCTGGGGGGCGGCAGGGGACACACGTGGCTGAGGGTCAGGACACCTTGGCGATCTAGCTAGACCGCGAAGGGCTTGAAGGTAGGGCTCCTGGGGCAGAAGGGAAAGGGCCAGCACCTCACCAGTCACAGCCTGCACCCAGGAGGACACAGCCCAGCAGCCAGCCCAGGAGGTGGCTCATCTGCTCCAGAGGCACCTTCCAGCCGTCCTCACACACAAGGTTCCACTATGGGGGACACCAATCACCTGTGGGCTGGCCAGGTCCACCCTCCCCCATGCTGGAGTTCCCAGAGTGTCAGGCTGCCAAGGGCCCTAGATGTCTCGCTCAAGGTCACACAACATACTCTCCCGACTCTGGTAGTAGTCTTCCGCTGGGATTTGAACAGTTCCTGGTCTGAGGCCCTACCTGGACCCCCACGTCTGTTTTCCGGTTTTCTCTGGATAGGGTCCCACTCACCTCTGGGCAGCCAACGCTGTCCCACCACAGGTGACTCTTGACTGGCCTACCGCTGTGCCAAGGGCCGCGCCCTCACTTCCCCCCTGCCCTGCTCATTTGAAGAGTGATTCTGGGAACAGGCAGGAGGGCTGGGCTCACCCACTTTTCCCAGACAAGGGCCCTTGACCTCAGTTTTGCCCTTCCCCACCTCTCCTTCCAAGTGTCCGCGCCTTCTCCTCAGACCTAACATACTGTTTTGGGTCACATTACATCCGAGTTTTTAGTTTAAAAACCAAACGTTCATGAAAGCTGGGGGGGGGCTGATTGATCAGTACCCCCAAAAAAGGGCAGGTGCGACAGGGAACAGAATGGGACAGAGGAGAAGCCGAGCCAGCTTCAGGGCTCCAGGCAGGGATGTGGCAACCCTGTCCCAGTTTCCACACAGGGGCCAATCCACCCAGGGACAGAGTCAGCCCTGCGGGGCCCAGGCCAACAGGGAGGCAGAGCTGGGCAGGTCCTAGCCCGAGGGAGGAAGGAGAGGAAGAGGGGCCTGGGAGGTTCCAGCCGCCCCCTCCCCATCTCTTCCCACCCAGACCGCTGAGTTGCCCCCGCCCCGCCAGCTTGTTTGCACATCAACGGGAAGGTTTGCTATCTCTGTGTGGCTACCTTGATTCAAAGCCTCCTGTCTTGGGAACCCAATTTCGACACCTACGTGGCCCAAAGCCACAGCTTACTCAAAACGTTGGTGGCACCGAAGTGCCACGTACCGCGGACCACCTGGCGCTTATTTGCTCATACCTTCAGCTGAACTCCTCTTCCTCCAGGCTGCCCGCCCACACTGGCGGACCTCGGGCAGCAGTTCTGCCATTAGGCCTAGCCCCCGTCTACTTGGGCATCTGCTGCATCATCTGACCCCCAACTAAGAGCGCAGCATGACAGCCCCAGCAGACCAAAGGCAGAAGACAAGGGGGAAGGAGGAGGTGGGGACAGAGGAAAGGGGGAGCAGAGGACGGGGCACAGAGATTGGGGGGCGGGGGGACGGAGGGGCGGGAGACGGAGAAATGTAGGGACAGAGACGAGAGAGGAGAGAGGAGGCGGGGCGGGGGGGGAAGCAGGGTGGGAGGCGGAGCGCCGGGGACCCAGCCCGTGCGACGCTCCTCCGCGGCTCGGGCGCTCACCTGGGTGACCGGGCTGCGCAGCAGGCCGGCGGCGGGCAGCGTGTAGTACCAGCCGCGCGTGCAGGGCCGGGTCCCGTTGGGGCGAGCGCGGGACGCGGACTCGGGGTAGCGCAGGAGCAGGCAGGGGCTCCGGGCGCGCGCGGGCCCCAGGCGCGGCACGCTGGCGTCGAGCAGCGCGGGCCCGCGCAGGACGCGCAGCGCGGGGGGCAGCAGCGCGGGGTCCGGCCGGCAGTGGTGCGCCGGCAGCGCGGTCAGCAGCGGCTCCGAGCCCAGCGCCAGCCCCAGCGCCACGCACGGCAGCCACGAGGCGGCGGCCAGCAGACGCCGGGCCCGGCCGAAGCCTCCCGCCGCGCGCAGAACCCGCGTCTCCGACTCCATCAGCGCCTCTGCGCTCGGCCGCACGGGGCCTGCGCGGGAGCGGAGCCACTGAAGGCGGGTCCCTGGGGCCTAGGGCGGCAGGGGCGTGGCCCGAGAGAGCGGGCTAGGTGAGGGTCACCGCGCCCTCGCCCCCGCCACGGGGGTTGCGGAGGCGTAGTTGTGGCACGTGGTCAGCCCGGCGTCCCGGGCAGCCGAGTGGAAGTGCGGAGCGATCATGGGGCGTGGCCGGCGGGGCGACCTCGTGCGGGGGCGTGGTCGGCGGGCGGGGCCGGCAGGAGGGGTTCTCGTGCGGGGGCGTGGTCGGAGGCGTGGCCGGCGGAGCGTCCTCGCACGGGGGGCGAGGTCGGAGGCGTGGCTGGCAGAGTTGGCGCTTACACGGGGGCGTGGCTGGCGGGGTGTCCTCCGGCGGGGGCGCGGTTGGTGGGGGCGGGGCCGGGAGGGGTGCGCGTGCGGGGGCGTGGTCGGCGGGGCGTCCTCGCGCGGGGGCGTGGCCGGAGGGGCAGTCGAGGCGCTCAGGTACGCTCGGCGGGCGAGGGGCCGAGGTCGTGTCTGTCCCGGTGGTGCGGGTGTCGCGGCCGAGCGGAGTGTGCTGCTGGTAAGGCGAGGCCCCGCTGGGGAGTTTGAACGTCATCGTAGGTTTGTGCGGCGCGGGCCTCGCAGTGGCGGCGTCGCGCTTGCGGACGGCAGGATCTTCCTCCCCAGACCCGAGGTAAGTGGCTTGGCCTTCCGCGTCTGTGCGGCTCTGGGGACAGTTGTGTGTGGGGGAAGCTGTAGATGACGTTTATAGGACTCCTGGGTTCCTTGGCCCGTTTCTTGGCTTTGCGAAGGGACCCTGGACCTGCCTTGCGTCTTACACGGGCAGCGTTCCGCGTGTCCGAGTGTTCCTGGCTTAAAGATGTTCCCGGTGACGTGAAACTCGCCGTGTTCTGCTCACCGCGAGGGAGAAGTCCCCGTCCGCCCCTCAGGGGCGTCCGCAGAGCGGGGCCCTCGGGCCAGTACTTAGGCCCTCTTCGCGGCCGGGCAATCCGCTCTGCCCTGTGCAGGTGTGCGCCCCGGTGCGCCCCGCCCGGTGCAGGTGTGTGCGCGCTGGTGCGCCCCGCCCGGTGCAGGCGTGCCCGTCTAGTGCAGGTGTGCGCCCCGGTGCAGGTGTGTGCGCGCTGGTGCGCCCCGCCCGGTGCAGGCGTGCCCGTCTAGTGCAGGTGTGCGCCCCGGTGCAGGTGTGTGCGCGCTGGTGCGCCCCGCCCGGTGCAGGCGTGCCCGTCTAGTGCAGGTGTGCGCCCCGGTGCAGGTGTGTGCGCGCTGGTGCGCCCCGCCCGGTGCAGGCGTGCCCGTCTAGTGCAGGTGTGCGCCCCGGTGCAGGTGTGTGCGCGCTGGTGCGCCCCGCCCGGTGCAGGTGTGTGTGCGCCGGTGCAGGCCTGCCCGCTAGGTGCAGGCGTGCGCGCCGGTGTAACGAGTCCGCATGTGACTCGTCCCCGAGCCTTTTGCATTCCCGCCGCCGCCGTCTGTCCCAGGGCTACAGCCACCCGGGTGCGGGTGAGGCGTGCCCCTGTGTTCTCCATTGGTGGCTCCTCAGCGGCTGCTGATGTGGATCTTCTCCTCTGCTTATTGGCCCCCGATCTGTCTCTGAGGAAATGATGCTGCAGATTCTATGCCCGTTTTTACTTGTGTTGTTTGCGTTTTTGTTGGTTTTAACTATTCTATACATATTTTGGATACTAGGCCTTATCAGATACAGGATTTGCAAATGTTTCCTCTCATCCTGTTCATTGTCATTTCACTTTCTTATAGTGCCCTTCAGTGCAAAAAAATGTTAATGTTCGTGAAGTTCATTTTTTTCCCTTCATGCTCATGCTTTTGGAGTCATGTAAGAAACTGTTACTAAACTGAAGATTATGAATATTTGCACCTGTCTTAGCATTTTACAAATTCAGTTCTTAGATTCAGGGCTTTGATCCAATTTGAGTTCATTTTTGCATGTGGTGTTAGATAAGAGTCTAACTTCATTGTATTGCATGTGGACACTCATTGCCCAGCACCATTGGTTGAAAGACTTGTCCTTTCCCCACTGAATTGTGTTGGCACCTTTGATGACACCAATTGTATGGTTAATGTCTGGACTCCCCATTCTATTCATAGATCTGTGTCTTTACTCTCATGCCAGTACCTCACTCTCTTGATAACTGTAGCTTTCTAGTAGGTGAAGAGAGTCCTCCAACTCTGTTCATTTTCAAGACTGTTTTGACTATTTGGGATCACTAGCAATTCCATATGAGGTTTACGATCACTTTTTCTGTTTTTTTTTCCCAAAAGGCCATTCGGATATTGGTAGGGATTGCACTGAATCTATAGAACACTTTGGGAATATTTGGAAATACTGCCGTTTTAGCAATATTAAGTCCCCCAATCCTTGAACACAAAATGTCTCTCCATTTATCGAGGTCATCTTTAATTTCTTTCAGAAATGTTTTGTGGTTTGGGGTATACAAGTCTTGTACTTCCCTGAGTGAATTTATTTCTGAAGTATTTTATTCTTTTTGATACTCTTGTATATGAAATTATTATTTTATAAGTTTCCTTTTCAGATTGTTCATTGCTAGCCTGTAGAAATACAAGTGATTTTTAGGATACTGATCTTGTATGCTACAATTTTGCTGAATTTCTTTCTTTTCTTTTCTTTTTTTTTTTTTTAAGTAGGCTCCATGCCAGCGTGGAGCCCAGTCTAGGGCCTGAACTTATGACCCTGAGATCAAGACCTGAGCTGAAATCAAGAGTCAGACGTTTAACCAACTGAGCCACCCAGGCACTCCTGAATTTCTTTAGTAGCTCTGATGTTGTGCATGTTTGTGGATTTTTTTAAAGGATTTTCTACATATAAGATGTTATTTACAATTACAGATACTTTTATTTCTTTTTCTGCTTAATTCCTATAGCTAGGACTTCTAGTATAATGTTGAACACAAGTGGTGAAAATGGACATCCTTATCTTGTTCCTGATTTTAGTGGGAAAACTTTCTGTCTTACACCACTGAGGATATCAGCTTTGGGTTTTTCCAAAGTGCCCTTTATCATTTTGAGATATTTTCTTTCCATTCCTAGCTTAGTTGTTTTTATCACGAAATGAAATGATGTTGAATTTTTCCCTTCTATTAATATGGTGTATTACATTGATTAATTTTTGTATGTTGAACCATCCTTGTATTCCGGGATAAATCCCACATGATCATGATGTCTAATTATTTCAATATACTGCTGGATTATATTTGCTAGTATTTTCATGAGAATATTTGCATCTAAATTCTTAGGATACTGGTTTATTTTTTTTTCTTGTGATGTCTTTGTTATCAGGGTGATGCTGGCCTCACAGAGTGTTCCTTCCTATTGTTTGGGAGAGTTTGGGATGGACTGGTGCTAATTCTTTAATATTTGGTAGAATTTACCCACAAAACCATCTGGTCCTGGGCTGTCCTTTTGTGGGATGTTGTTGATTACTGACTCAATTTCTTATTATAGGGTATGTTTAAATTTTCTCTTTCTTCTTGGGTCAGTTACAGTAATCTGTGTGTTTCTAGGAATGTGTCCATTTCAGAGGATTTCTAGTATGTTTGCATGTAATTGTTCATAGTATTCTCTTATTCTTTTGTATTTCTGTGAGGTCCAGTAATGTTTTCTTATTCACTTCCAATTTTAGTAATTTGAGTCTTGTTTTTTCTTAGCCTATATATTGTCCAACCAGCTTGTTTTGTTGATTCTGTTTTTTATTTCATTTATCTCCACTGTTAACCTTAAAAATAAAACTGCGAGTTATTTTACCAGCAAAAATGGCTTTTTTCTGGAATAGCAGAGACTTGCAATCCAGGACAAGCAAGCCAGGGCAAACAAAGCCTTCGCGAATCCGGAAACAAAGCAGAGGCTCTTCTAGGGAGGAAAGGAGGGGTTGGAGGGGCTGTTGTAAACTAAGAGTCCATTGGAGTAACCTGGGAGCTGGAAGTGTAGGGGCTCCCCACTGGCTGGGCTGTGACGTCCTCTCATTGGCTGAGCTGTTGCTGGAGGCGGGGGAAGCTGCCTTCTTCCGGTTAGGGTAGTAAAGTGGTAGCCACGTGCAAGGTACGCGTCTTCTGTTGAGCCTGCAAGAGAAGTGCTGGGTGTGAGAGCTCCCCCTGCCGGCAGGCTCCAGTATAGACAAGGTTTCCTTTGATTCCCACACCACTTTAATCTTTATTATTTCTTCCCATCTATTGGCTTTGGGTTTAGTTTGTGCTTTCTTTCTTGATCCTTAAGGTGTAAAGTTAGGTTATTGACTTATTCTCTCCAGTAGGCATTTACAGCTATAAATTTCCCCCACGCTGCATTTGCATCTTGTAACTGTTTTTCTTTAGTCTTCAAGTATTTTAAAATTTTCTCTTGAGATTTATTTTTTTGACTCATTGGTTATTTAAGAGTGTGCTCTTTAGCCTGCAGGTGTTTGGAATTTTTCACTTTGCTTCCTGTTCCTGCTTTCTAGCTTCATTCCATTGCAGTCAGAGAAGATTTGTATTATTTCAGTCTTTTTAAACTTACGGGGGCTTATTGTGTGGTTTGACAAGAGGTCTGTCTTTGAGAATGTTCCATGTGCACTTGAGATGTTCATTCTGCTGCTGTTGGGTGAGATGTTCTGTAGATGTCTGCTGGAGCTGCTTAGCTATGGTGTTCCAGCCTTAACGCACTTATGTCTGGTTGCTCAATCCATTATGGACACGGGGAACCAGAATTCCCAGCCATTGTTGTACAGCCGTCTGTGTCTCTCTTCCATTCTGTTGGGTTTGGGTTCATCTATTTTGGGGATTCTGCTGCTCAGTGTTTATATGTTTATAATTGTTACATCTCCTTGATGAACTGGTCTTTTAAGATTAATATAGATGTCTTCCTTTGATTCTTGTGACAATTTATATAAATGTGTTTTTTTTAAGATTTTATTTATTTATTTGACAGAGAGCGAGAGCACAAGCAGGGGGAGGGGCAGG